GAAATTGCAGAGAAAAATAACTAAAAAAATGGAATGAGTGTGAAGTTAGTTATAAATAAATACATTTATTTAACATTATAGGTAACGCCTAATTTTTATATTATATCCAAAGGGTAAAGTAGGGGTAAACACTTTTTTACAACAATGTTCATAATTAGATATCAAAATTTGTGAAAAAAATTAAAATTTACGAAAACAAAAATATTTATAATAGTATTATTTATTGTCTGAAACTAACTTCAGATGGGCAACAAAACTTAAATAGATAATGAAATTTAATTAATAATTTTAATAACCACAGAAAAAAAAATAAGAATTTTAAATTATCAATAACCAAAAAAATAAATTCATACCTACTTCTGCCTTTCATAACACAACCACTATAATTATAATAAAAACAACGAGAATATTGAAATAAAAAAAAACCCAAAAAAATAAACTTACCTTGAAAAATAAATTCGTACAGAACACCAACAAAAAAGCAACATTACACCATAAAAAAGTTTAAAATATATCACTTAAAATTGCCCACAAAAAACATAAATAGATATTATTAAGATCCTATTTATTTTTCTCACTTTAATTTAAAACAATACGATAAATATAAAACCTTGTTCGATCGAGCTGCGTGCTCAACAACGGAGGTCGATAGTTGCTGACTGACTGACGGTAAGTGCTAACGACCGAGTCTACCGTCTCGAATGTACTCGACTGACCATCGCTGATAATGTCCAGGGACGAATTCAACAAGCGCGGGGCCCCTGGTAAATTGAAATGTCGATATGAAAATAAAAATTATAAATAGTCTAGTTGCACTCCTCACGCGCCTCAAAGAGCCAATAGACCATCACGGGTGGAGCCCAAAAGGGACCAATGTTCAGTCAAAGTCAAGCCCTATTGGGCCCCATCTGTAGTCGTCTATGTTGTATCATCTCTAATTAGTCATAGTAATTATTGTCACACTAGAACTGTCAATGTCAATGTCATCCTTTAGTATAAATAAGGTGGTCGAGAGTGTGTCGGCCATTGATAATGTCTCTGGTGCAGTGAGCTGTCCGACTGTGCACTGTGATATTAAAGTCAAGTATCCAAGATCCAAGTCTTTTATTTATATCAGATGGTGTCAGAAGTGGGTGTCTTTTTTTCATATTACAGAGTCTATAGGTTCTTTGAGGCGCGGGGAAAGTTAAGCGCCGCACGCTCTTGTACTCTCGTATATTACTCAATGTTGCCGCCCAAAAGGTATCTGTTTAAAATTTGTAGTAAGTATAGCTGGCTCTTATGTGCGTAAAGTGCCGTGACAAATGTAGGTAGTAGGTATTCCACTTTGCCATCAACACGGATGTCCTTCGAAGTATGGATTTATTTAAACAACGGTGTGAGGAAGGTTATTTACAAATATTATTTTAAGTAGTATTAAATCCTGTATTTTTTTATTAAAAAGCATTCATTGGCAACATGAACGCTTTCTGAAATATATGATAGATACGAATTGTTTTGTTTTCCATCACAACAACTGTTTTGTTCCCATAAAATTTGCATTGCCAATCTTATTAAATATTCAATGTTTTTCTTGCGGATAATAGTATTTCTTACCAAAACTCTAGGTCGCTTTAACGTTAACGAAATGATATCACGAAACTATTTTTTCCTAGCCGAGAACATTAGACTAAAACCACCGGTGAGTGGACAATCATGGATGCCCAATCCGTCTCCACCACCCCAATCCCTGATCCTCCAAAAGACCAGCAACGCACTCGTAACTCCATTGATGTTGATGGTGATCATGGGCGGCTCCCATTGCTTACACTAAGTGATCCGTCGGCAAAATGGGTCGGCTCGACCGGAGTGATACCACGGCCTCACAGAAAACTGGCGTGAAACAACCACAGCGTTGTGTTTCGCCGTGTGAGTTAGTTTACCGGAGGCCTAATCCTTCCCCTCCCCAATCCCCAAAATGTCGGCAACGCACTCGTAACTCCTCTGTTGTTGCGGGTGTCCATTGGCGGCGCTGATTGCTTACCATCAGGTAATCGGTATGCTCGTTTGTCGACCTATAAGATAAAAAAAGGTAAGGGTTGAAGCCAACGCTACCAACGGGGCCCGCTTTGAAATGAAAGAGGGACCCACGCGTGATGCGTGGGGCCCATAACCAATGCTACCCTTGCTACATACTGAATCTGACTCTGTAAATATCCAATTGTGATGTTTCCTTAGTCAAAATTGATTGTAATTTAGTTGTTTTGATTAGTAGAAATAAAAATGTTTGATGGTGAGAAAAAATGTGGTTTTTAGACAGAAGGGCTTCAAATTTTGTGGCTACTTATCTGTACTTCTATACATATATTTTAAAGAGGTAAAATTTGTAAGTTTGTTTGTTTGTAAGTTCGGGTCGTTCTCCTGACCATAATGAATACAACAAAAAAATAATTGTCAAAATTGGTCCAGTCGTTCTTGACTAATGCGCTTACCAACACATTTTGCGATTCATTTTTATTACTTATGTGAAGTAATTTTTTATGCAAGGTTCAAGCCTGCAACTTGACCTTATTTAAAAGAAGAATTCACATAAGAAAAAAAATAGCTACTCTCGCACGGTTTCACCCGCTGCTCGCGTAGCGTAATGTTTTATAGCCTATAGCACTCAGGAACATTGTAGCAATCTATCAGTGAAATAATTTTGGCAATCCGACCAGCGGTTCCAAAGATTACCCCCTACATACAAACTTACAAATTTTATCTCTTAGTATAGACTCGTGAGGACCACCTAGAGGATACGGTGGAGCATACGGTAGCGGTATGCCCTGCCTGGGCTGAGCACCGCCGTGTCCTCAGGGAAGTGATCGGCGGCGGCGACCTCTCGCGCCCGGCCTTAGTCGAGGCCATGGTGCGGAGTGAGAGGAACTGGGACGCCGTCTCCTCCTTTTGTGAAGCAGTCATGCTTGCAAAGAGAGAGGCGGCCCGCGTGTGGGAGCAATCCTCCTCCTCACGCCCCAGCAGCCGCAACTGGCGACACTACGGGCGTCGGGGATCAAGGGACGATCTCCGGCCACCGTAAGCACGGGCCTGCTGTCGGCGAGTAAGGACAGCTCGCCGCCCGACCACAACCAGGCCCGAGCGTACGGCGCGTAGCGTTCCGCGCGCGCCTCAAAGAGCCAATAGACCACCACAGACGGGGCCCTAAAGGGCTGATGTTCAGCCGGGGTTGCGGGGTAAGCGCAATGAGGCACCGCGACCTCGGCCCAGAGCAGGAGAAGGAACAGGGGGGTTTTTAGTCAGTAAGAGTCTGACACTCCCTCCCGCCCGGCCCTGGGCGGGAGAAGTCATTTGATGATTTTCCCCTCACAAAAAAAAAGTATAGACTCGTACTTTAATATATAGCTATTTAATTATTTATACAAATATAATGCTTGGTATCTCAATTTCCGAAGTGAAACTACAAAGATGACTGGACTATCTATAGGCAAATGTCAACAGGAAGAATTTCATCAGTTTGCTACTGAGTACACACAAGATCGTAAATTATCAAATTAGACATCAGTCACACATATGTGAAACATATTTCTTCGAATTATACTGTGAACAGGACAGTGACAAACATACGATGTGAATCAATGAATATATTATTTTTGCAAATAGGCCATAGAACTGAACTTTTAGACGTCAAATTATATTTTAAAAACCTAGATGAAGCCGGCATTGAAGAAATGCCAAAAAACGTCAGAGTTCCGTCTCTTTTCAGTCCAGACAATGTAGAAAATAATATTATAATGTGTGAGAATCGTGCAAGTTCATTCTATAGTGGTCTTTTGAGGAAAGAACCACACCAGTTTTTGTGACCACGTTCTGAAGACAGGCAACTGTGTTAATACTAACAATATTGGGTAGATACCTTAATTTGGGAGAGTCACGCTTCGGCATGAATGGGTCGGCTCGACCGAGGTGATACCACGGCCTCATAGAATTCAAACTTTTAATTTGCTTGTTAAGGCACAAGGATCCTAAATGAAAATAAAAGGCACAGCTTAACTGCCTTTTTCAGGCGTTGCAAATTTGAGGGTTATCTTATGAACTATAAAACTTGTGAACTATCACTAAATCTTCATATATGAAAACTAGCTATTCTCACGCGGTTTCACCCGCTGCTCGGCTCCATTTGATCGTAGCGTGATGTTTTATAGCCTATAGCACTCAAGAATATGGTAGCTATTAGTCATTGAAAGAATTTTGGCAATCCGACCCGCGGTTCCAAAGATTACCCACTACATAATGTACAAACTTACAAACATACTGTGACGGAAAACTCTTTGACATCATGACGTCAAGGGATGGTTGTCAAACGTTGCCTAGAGATTGTAAATTTCGTCGTGAATTGTCAACACGAGTTGGTGTAATCGGTAAGGCGTGTGGATTACACCACAGAGACCCCGAGTTCGAGTCCCGCCGTAAACATGAAGTTTTTTAGTTGATGGAAGTTTTGTCGAACTTTCTGGAATTATTTGAGTGAAAGAAATGAAAAATTAAGGAGCGAGAAGGAGAATAAATAAAAATGAATAACGAAATTATTGGAAGGTTCTGGAGGCATGACGATCAAAAAGAATAACGAAATTGAATGTTCTAGAACCTGACCGGGGGTATATAAGCGGAACTGCGGCTCACCGCTGGCAGTTGAGTTCTAAGTCTAAAGCGATTCGGAAGAAAAGGAAGAAGTGGAAAAGAAGAAAAGTGAGTGAAATAGTGAAGTGCAGTGAAATAGTGAAGTGCAGTCAGTTAAGTGAGTTAAATCAGCGTGAACGGCAAAGTTGTGTCAGTCGGCCGGACTCTGCTGCAGAAGAACGCCGATAACTTAACTCCGTGGATGCTGTAACTTAAGTGCAATAGAAAGTCTGAAAACCGGTATTAGTGTTTCATTTCATCCAATCCCGTAACCCAAGCCCGCATATTCAGGAACGTGACGTCAGGCACGTAACATTTGGTGTCAGAAGTGGGATTGGAGAAAAATGCCGCTAGTGCCGCAGGACGTAAGAGGAGTGAGTACCCGTGCAATGTCAGAAGCGCAGCGTGTGAGGGAAGAGGGTGCTGCAGCTCAAACCAGCGATGCAGAAGCCAAGCCTGTGCAGGTGGATCTTCTGCTACAGCTGCAGCAAATGATGGCAGAGCAAGCGCGCCGCCAAGAAGAGCAAGCGCGCCGCCAAGAAGAGCAAGCGCGCCGCCAAGAAGAGCAAGCGCGCTGTCAGGCAGAACAGCTGCGGGAGCTGAAAGAAGAGCAAGCGCGCCGCCAAGAAGAGCAAGCGCGCCGCCAAGAAGAGCAAGCACGCTGTCAGGCGGAACAGCTACGGGAGCTGAAAGAAGATCAAGCTCGTCGCCAAGAGGATCAAGCTCGCCGCCAAGAGGAGCAAGCGCGTCGCTTGGAAGAGATGCATAAGGATTTCACGAAGGGACTGCAAAAGGCTGTCGAACGGGTACAAGAAGTGGAGGAAGGGTTAGGCAAGTTGGAACATCGCGTCATGGCGATAGATGAGAGAGTGAAAGAAGAGATCTCCAAAATCAAGCAGGAAGTGACAAGCCCAAGCCCTTTGAAGAGCCGAAGCCGTCTTGCAGCCGTTTTTGACGCCCCAAATGTGGCCTCAAGCGCAACGAAAGGGCTCAAGATTCCCCATTACGACGGAACAACATCCTGGAACGCGTTCAAGCTACAGTTTGAGACACTTATGGAGGCTTATGGTTGGACTCAGAAGGAAGCACAGTCAGCCCTCACCCTGGCCCTCCGTGATCAAGCGCTCTCAGTGCTGGAAGCTATCGGCGCAAGTGGGGATCTTAGCTTAAGTGCCCTCCTCGACGCACTTGAGGCACGTTTTGGAGGCAAATGCACTAGTTGTGCAGCTGTCAAGGGTCCACAAACAAGAAGCAGAGGGGCGATGAAAATCTACAATGTTGGTATGCCTTGGGAGAGAATAGCCTTAGACATCGCTGGACCATTTCCAATCACTGATTCGGGCAATCGCTACGTTTTAGTGGTTATGGATTATTTTACAAAATGGCCGGAGGTCTTTGCCATACCGAATCAAGAGGCAGTAACTGTAGCCACGAAGTTGGTAAACGAGGTATTCACCCGATTCGGAGTGCCCTTGGAGATGCACAGTGATCAAGGACGGAACTTTGAGTCCCAAGTTTTTCAGGAAACTTGTAAACTTTTGGGAATCCATAAGACTCGAACGACTCCTTATCATCCACAGTCAGATGGAATGGTCGAACGTTTCAACCAAACATTGGAACGACACTTAGCAAAGGTGGTTGACAGCCATCAGAGAGATTGGGACACTTACATACCTCTCTTCTTGCTTGCCTATCGGACTGCTGTACATGAAAGTACCGCAAAGACGCCTGCATTTGCAAATTTTGGAAGGGAATTGAGATTACCGGCAGATCTTGTATCGGGCTGTCCACCTGGCGACTCTCGCACCGAATTTAGCGATTACATAAGCGAGTTAAGGGCAAAAATGTTGGACATTTATGAGCAGATCAGGGAGGCCGGTCTTCAAGCTAGTGATCGCGCAAAGACGCGCTATGATCGACGAGCCAATTCTGTTGGGTTTGAAGAAGGGTCATTGGTCTGGCTTCATAATCCAGTCAGAAGGAAGGGAAAATCTCCGAAGCTGCAACCGAGTTGGGAAGGTCCTTATGAGATAGTCACGAAGATCAATGACATTACTTACAGAATTCGGAAGACTTCAAGGAGCCCTTTGAAAGTTGTCCATATAGACAGGTTGGCGAGGTATTACGGCAGCAACGATGCTCGGGACGAGCGAATCTAAGAGGGGGGCAGTGTGACGGAAAACTCTTTGACATCATGACGTCAAGGGATGGTTGTCAAACGTTGCCTAGAGATTGTAAATTTCGTCGTGAATTGTCAACACGAGTTGGTGTAATCGGTAAGGCGTGTGGATTACACCACAGAGACCCCGAGTTCGAGTCCCGCCGTAAACATGAAGTTTTTTAGTTGATGGAAGTTTTGTCGAACTTTCTGGAATTATTTGAGTGAAAGAAATGAAAAATTAAGGAGCGAGAAGGAGAATAAATAAAAATGAATAACGAAATTATTGGAAGGTTCTGGAGGCATGACGATCAAAAAGAATAACGAAATTGAATGTTCTAGAACCTGACCGGGGGTATATAAGCGGAACTGCGGCTCACCGCTGGCAGTTGAGTTCTAAGTCTAAAGCGATTCGGAAGAAAAGGAAGAAGTGGAAAAGAAGAAAAGTGAGTGAAATAGTGAAGTGCAGTGAAATAGTGAAGTGCAGTCAGTTAAGTGAGTTAAATCAGCGTGAACGGCAAAGTTGTGTCAGTCGGCCGGACTCTGCTGCAGAAGAACGCCGATAACTTAACTCCGTGGATGCTGTAACTTAAGTGCAATAGAAAGTCTGAAAACCGGTATTAGTGTTTCATTTCATCCAATCCCGTAACCCAAGCCCGCATATTCAGGAACGTGACGTCAGGCACGTAACAATACAAACTTACAAATTTTACCTCTTTATAATATTAAGTATAGATTTTGTGTCACGTATTTGTCCACCATGGACTCCTAAACAGCTAAACCGATTTTAAATTTGTTTTGCATTCCGTATGCATTTGATCCAACTTGAAAGATAGGATAGCTTACATCTCAAGTTATAGTCCTAATAAGTACTATTTACCTTAGCCACAGCAACGCGTGGCTGGTAAATTGATCGGCAAATTGTGCAATAATTGGCTGCCGGAACACTTTCTGATATACATTTTAATTTATTTCATTTTTCATTACAAAATGTTTTGTTTTTCACCATCATAACTCTCTCGTTTCCCGGTGATAATTGAATTTCGCGTTAAAATGCAAGGTGGGTCTCACGTCGACGAAATGACATCACGACACCATTTCTTTCTAGACAAAACCATTATGGATACTACAGTAACCATGGCAACCATGTTACAGATCATCATCATCATCATCAGCCTGATTTCATCCACTGCTGCCCCAATAAAAATTAATGGAAATCGTACTATTTTCCAATAAATATTACTTTAAAATATTGATCTCATGCACATTAATACTAATATTCATGTAATTGATGAGATCATTCATTTCTTGTATTCGAAGTAGGTGTATATTTACTTATTATATGTAAGTATATGCACAGCGTATTTTCCCAAGAGCAACTTGTACTTGGTTTTTCTCTTAAGTCATAAGAGCGTTTATAAACACACATACGTTGATAACCTTGTAAAAGGGGCATCAATGCATTTGTGACTTCAACAGTGTTACTTTTTTTGAGATAGAAATGCATAAAATGCATGTCTTACCCAATTCTAGTTGGGGTGGACTAAAAACTATACTGTTACATCTCCTGTTATGAGCCATGCAACTCCTCTAGTGTCCTCTAGTGTACTACTTACAGAAACCCCTTAATTAGCACCGATTGCGTACCATCAGGTGATCCGTTTCCCATTTCCGAGGACTAGCTATTCTATACATATACCCATCACAATCAGACCTGGACCAATACATAAAAAGGAAATTGGGTAGTTTCCTAGGTCAAAAATAAATTAATTCGATGTTTCAATACAATAAAGTATTGAAAAATAACTATACTTTTATTCATCGATCGATCGATACACCAAGTTTTAGATTTTTTTAGCTAATTATTGTGAAATAAGTAAGCTATTTGACGCAAAAATGTTATGACGTCATAGCTCAGTTTTTCATACAAATTTCATAGAAAAGTATCGTTTTTGACGTTTGGATAAAAGTATTGAATTTGACTAGTTGGAAACTACCGTATTGTACAGGAAAATATCCTGTGTGGGAATCGAAACTTCGACATATTCAGCAGACTGTCACCTTGCCATAGTTTCAGCTGTAAAAAAAGTCAAAAAAGATATTGGTGAGGGTTGAAGGTCAAGGTAATCCATCCGTTCAAGAGGGGCTAGAGAAGACACGGTTGGAGATGGATCATTGTGTAGCCCAGTTTCTCACGGGTCATTTTTTTTTAAGTAATGGTCGGCAAACGATCATACGGATTACCTGATGGTAAGCAATCAACGCCGCCCATGGACACCCGCAACGGAGGATTTACGAGTGCGTTGCCGACCTTTTAGGTATTAATAGACCACCACAGTTGGGGCCCTAAAGGGCTGATGTTTAGCCGGGGCTGTGGGGTAAGCGCAATGAGGCACCGCGACCTCGGCCCAGAGCAGGAGAAGGAACGGGGGGGGGGGGTTTAGTCAGTAAGAGTCTGACACTCTCTCTCGCCTTACCCTGGGCGGGAGAAGTCATTGGATGATTTTCCCCTGACAAAAAAAAGCCTCCGGTAACCTCACTCACACGGCGAAATACAACGCTGTGGTTGTTTCACGCCGGTCTTCTGTGAGGCCGTCATCTTCATGGTCAAGGTCATGGCAACTTTAAAAGCATATTATTTTCATTTAAACTTGTTGACTCCACATTGCACCATTGGTGCACATGTTCGACAAGTCTGCCCATCATATGCTCTGGGAGTGTAATTTCTGGCAATACGAACGTAACATTATGTTAGACAATTTTAATATCTCATCAGGTGTAAACTACACCATATTTTTTTTATATGTAATTGGTCGGCAAACGAGCAGACGGATTACCTGATGGTAAGCAATCAGCGCCGCCCATTGACACGGAAAACGGCAACGGAGGATTTACGAGTGCGTTGCCGAACTTTTAGGGATTAGGGATTTGGAGATTTAGGGATTGAGGAGGGATTGGGGGCGGGGAAGGATTGGGCCTCCGGTAACCACAGTCACACGGCGAAACACAACGCTGTGGTTGTTTCACGCCGGTCTTCTGTAAGGCCGTGGTATCACTCCGGTCGAGCCGACCCATGGTGCCGAAGCATGGCTCTCCCACACTTATACCTAATGTACCAATCGTATAATGAACTCATTATACGGACTTTGAGGAATGTAGAACAAATTTCCGTGCGTTTAGGACACACATATTTATGTAGGTCCCATTACAGTAACAATACAAAATTTTCCGTGGTATTTGGTGACTGGGCTTCTCCTAGTTGTACAGCCTCTTCTGTGCCTTCAAACCCTAAGTCATTCTGTCTCCTGAATTAAACTTACCGAGGGAAGTGGAAACTATTTCGTTTTTTCACCTCCTCAAATAATATCTTCTGATTTATTTCGTTGCGGGATCCAAGATAGTCGTTCATGTCCCTGGGACGCGCCGGAATACAGTGTTCCGGTGCTTTCATGGTTGTATCTACTGTAGATCCTGGCTTACAGGAGTTGCAGCGGGTTTTGGAGGTTACGGCGGGGTTGTCCCATTAAAAAAAAGTGTGTGACACTCCTTCCCACCCAACCTGGGAAATTATTCGATGATTTTCCCTTCACAAACGAAGGGCACCGTCTTATACATAGTTTGTCCCTTAAAAACAGTCTCGACACTGCAGTGTGATTCTGTAAGACTTCATTCTAAACTTCGAATCTGAATCCGCCGTGAGTAGTAGTACACTAGCGCTAAACTTGCGAGTTGAACGAAATTGACAGCAACATTTTGAAAGATAAAGTATGAAATGACGTTAAAAGTGGCATTCTAAAATTTAATTTCCCCGTCACTTCAACGCTCACTTCGCACTCGAACACGATTCAAAATCAAACAAATTTTATAGAATCGACGTGCTGGTCTTGTGGAGGAGCCATTCAATAATAAACCGTCACCACAATAAATATATTTCTACAGCAAGAAAAACCACGAGTTCTTAACTCTAGTAAACAAACTCAATTGACCTTGAAACCAATTCTGTTGACATAACAATCATTATATTAGGAGTTTCCTAATCTAATGTGCCTAAAATTACTTCGGAATTATGCTCACAATTTACGCAGTGGAATATTTACTCTGAACCGAATTATGTGACGTAACTTCGTCACGGGATACGTAGATTCTGACGCATATTGTCCAGCTCAACGTCGTAATATACATAACGGCGTAATATGTTTTTCTTGTAGGATAGGACGAAAAACGAGCTGACGGATGACATGGTGGTAAGCCATTAGGGTGGTGGATGTAAGCGCAACGTACCGAGGACCCGGAGGTACGAGAAGGAACTTTAGGGGTTCAGAGTTGCCTGGGGCCCTATAGAGCTGATGTTCAGCCGGGGTTGCGGGGTAAGCGCAATGAGGCACCGCCCACACACCTCGGCCTATAGCAGGAGAAGGAACAGGGGGTTTTTAGTCAGTAAGAGTCTGACACTACCTCCTGCCCGACCCTGGGCGAGAGAAGTCATTTGATGATTTTCCCCTCACAAAAAAGGGGTTCAAAGTTAACGTCCAGTCTATAAGTGCCCACTGCTGAGCAAAGGCTTCTTCTCACAGGAAGAAGGTTTGAGCATTAATTACCACGCTTGCTCAAGATGGTTAGGCAATTTCGAACTATGGATGGTACCGCGGCCTCAAAGAAAACCAGCTTGAAACAGCGCAGTGTTCCGTCTTGTGAGTGGAGTTACCGGATGCCCAATCCTTTGCCTGCACGTGTGAATGAAGTTACCGGAGGCCCAATCCTTCGTCTCCATCAATCCCTCCACAATCCCAAAATCTCCAAAAGGTCACCAACGCACTCGTAAGTTGTCCGCTGTTGCGAGTATCCATGGGCGGCGCTTATTGTTTACCCGCCGAATATAAAAAAGTTATGAAACATAAAGCCTTCCTCTTCAATCACTTTATCCATTAAAAAAACCGCACCAAAATCCGGTGCGCAGTTTTAAAGATTTAAGCATACATAGAGATATAGGGACAGAGAAAGCGAATTTATTTTTAACCCCGACGTAAAAACGACGCGTTTTTATAAGTTAGCCGTCTCTGCGCGTCTAAATGTCTGTCTGTGGTCATCGTAGCTCTTAAACTGATGATCCGTCTTTGATGTGGTATTTTTTGTTTGGAAGGTATAACAGTCGAGAGTGTTCTTAGATTGTTTGGTGGAAATCAGTTCAGGTTTTCAAGGTCATCAGGTCGTTTTTAGGTGTGATTGAAATATTACACACAGCTTACTTGCATAAGTATTTTTTTTGTTTTTTTAAAGGATTTAGTACCTAATTTTAACCTTTTTTCATGATAATTGCGTACTTATTTTGGGCCGGGGGTTTAATTATATAGTATTTATAGTGATTCACAAATGGAAATTTACAAATATTTAGCAAACATATAATTATGGGCTGTCATGTCCAAGATCCAAGCTCTTCGTGGTGTTACCATGGCAACCGATACCACAACAGAATTTTAACTCCAAAACAACGCTAGCTCCCAGTTTAACCTTACAAGTACAATAGTGTTTAAAGTAATTAATAATATAATTATATAGTTTATTATTAAATATTAATTATAATATAAGTGGTAGGTGTGTGAGAATTTTGGAAATTTTAAAGATCTTTGCCAAGGTAAGCGTTAATTTTTTTAATGACCTAAATATGATATTGAGTTTGTTTTTTTTACCTAAATAAATGGTTATTTTTTTGTTTTTCTTGATTGATTAAGGTATGATTAGTGTAAGTGAATTTTTTAAATGAATTTTCAAAAAAATCCCTAGTTGTGGAATGTTTTTTTTTGGCTGATGTTAATTACCGGTAAATTGTTTTTTTATTTCGTTGAGAATCAGCGAAGAAAATACAGTGGCTTATCGTTTTGCAATAATTTAAGTCGGTATAGGATCAATTTTTTATTTCTATAATCTCAGTAAACATGTTTTTCTTAGAAAATCTATAATTGATTATTGTTTTTGTAAGAAAGTAACATTTTTAAACTACGTAGGTAATACTAAGCACACAAAAGTTTTTTTACTCTAAATTAAAAAAAAATATTCTAAAATTTAAAAAACACGCAAATCAATTTTATATATATATATATATATTTTAAATTAGAACAGGCACATTCATAATGGAACTTAAATAAACTTTTTGGTATTGAATGAACAAACAATTTTTTTTTTGTAGAGAATTCCATACTATTTCCTCGTCGAATTAAAGAAAAAGGTTTGTGGATAAGACTCCGACGTTAACGATTCGCAAGGAACGAATTCTCTAAATTTCGTCAACAGACTATTTAGATCGCTGGTTTTTGCGTCTCCTATATACATGAGGATTTTGCTTTAACCTTTACACCTGGAAGATAACAGTTTAAGGGCTGAATTTTCAATGGTTAGATAAAAGTTACCCGGGGAATAATTATGATGCTGTCGCGTCAGAATGTTTGTATAAGACAGAGACAGCAACAATTTTATTTCTCAGATAACATTTATCTGTAATTAAAAAAAATCAACCCTTAAAGGTTCAGGTTTATCAGAGAGTGCTGCTGCCTTATCTCCAAATCAGCCCTTGTCACACTTACAGGAAGAATTTTGTTATTATTTTTGAGGTGATTGTTCGTCGAACAATTCAGCATGTGTAGAACAACCATGCTTCGCCACGACGGCTTGACCGGTATCATAACGATGCCTCACAGAAACCGGCGTAAAAGTCCAGTTACGTTGCGTTTTGCCATATGAGCGATGTTATTGTCCCTCCCGCCCTCATTTTCCGATTCCCTAATTCACCAATCCTTAAATTACCCCACAAATGAATTTTAACTCCTTAGGTTTCAATAATGTCCATGGTCGACGCCGATTGCTTACCGTCAGGTAATCTTTTCTTTTGCAGAACTATAACATAAAAAACCATACGAGTTAACGTGAACGATTGTTTTTTTGAGAAAAGTCGACAAACGGACTGAGACGTCACGAGTGCGTTGCCGCCAATCTTTAGGGCATTAGGGTTTTGGTTTAGGGATTGGGGGATTTATGAGGGGGGGGGGGCAAATTGGGAATTGGGCCTCAGGTAACCTTTTTCACTTCATTCAAACGGTGAAACAGAACGCTGTAATTTGTTTCACGCCGGTTTAAGTGGCACGGTATTTCTCTGACCGAGTCGACCCATTACTGCTGAAGCTTGCCTCATTTCTCAAAAGAATAATACAAAATGAACTTGCTCGGTTCTCTTCCAGTATTTCATATTTACCTGGACTTTGAAAGATCTTGAATTTATCAGAGTAGTCAGATCGGAATAGCCGACGTCGTTGAGACGACTTTTTTACGATTTTGACGTGTAAAAATGCTATTTTATTACATACTAGCTCTTACCCGCGGCGTCGCTCCCGTCATTTGACTACCTACCCTACTCTACCTACCCTACTCTACTTACCCTACCTCCCCTACTTTACCTACCCTACTCTACTTACCCTACCTACCCTACTCTTCCTACCCTACTCTACCTACCCTACTCTACCTACCCTGATCTACCTAACCTACTCTACCTACTCTATCCTATCCTATGTCCTTCTCCTGGGTCTAAACTACCTCCCTGCCAATTTTCAACTAAATCGGTTCAGCCGTTCTTGAGTTATAAGTGGAGTAACTAACACGACTCTCTTTTATATATAGGTATATAGATTTTGATTGAATCGTCAGCCATATTGTATTTAATTAAATTTATTTTTTATTGTTACAGATAAAACAATATTTCTCAAAGAGAAAATTCAAAAAGCATCAAGAATTATAAAATAAAAAAATGATATTTTTAAAAATAGAAACCGAATCATATTCGTTCATATCAAGATAGCTTGTTAACAGACTTTTCAAATAAAGAAACAAAAGAATATTCCAGAAATTGTTTATTCGAATGTTGGATCAATAATGACACTGTTACCAAGGATCTGTTTCCTGGTTTTGGTTTTATCAGGGGTGCAAGCTAAATGGGTGGAAGGAAGGATCGATACCAAGGAGGTACGTTTTTATGTTTATCACATTGATTGCCATGGAGGATTGAGGAGAGCCTTAAAGGTTTTTGACGGTAGACAAAAACTTGCGACTGGCCCCGGCTCCGCACAAGTGCAATTGTTGATACTAAATTTCTCCCCTAGGTATTATTATTTTTTTATTTTGATTCAATAGGTACAGTAACAGACAGAAAACCAAAAATTACAAAGTTGAATACTTACTGCACTACACACAAATTATAAATCTGCAGTCCAGTTATTAACTACTGTACACAGCATTCTTAAAAAAAAATACAATTTGCTTCATAACATTTAGAGTTACTGATACAAATTACGTTTTCCAATTGTGCCGACACAGAAAATCCTTAAAGACATTAAAACTTATTTAATCATTGTAATCTTACTAATATTATAAATGCGAAAGTTACGATTTTTGGATGTTTGTTATTCAATCCCACCAAAACGACTGGACGGATCTAGATGAAGTTTGGCACAACAGTGTGATTCTGTAAAACTTCATTCTAAATTTCGAATCTGAATCCGCTGTGAGTAGTAGTACACTAGCGCTACACTTACGAGTTGAACTAAATTGACAGCAATATTTTGATAGATAAAGTATGAGATGACGTTAAAAATGGCTTTCTAAAATTTAATTTCCTCGTCACTTCGACGCTCACTTCGCATTCGAACACGATTCAAAATCAAACAAATTTTATAGAATCGACGTGCAGGTATAGAATACGCTCCGGAATAGGACATAGGCTTCTTTTTTTCAACATACCACGGCTATTCTATCGCTGCGTACCGTTGCGTAGTTTTAAAGATTTAAGCATACATAGGGATATAGGGACAGAGAAAGCGACTTTGTTTTATACAATGTAGTGATAAATAATAACCTGTGAAATGAAACTGGTAGAGTTTATCATAGTTAATACTCGTGCATCGTTATTTTCAATACATCCAGTAGATACCTAGATCTCGTAATAGTTACTATTAAAAAACACATTAATTTATTTCATTTTGGCGCGGTGCGTTTTGGCATAACAACATCCAAAGCAGTGTCAAAGTCAAAGAATATTGATAGACGATTAAAATTGATGACACATTCATACATGGGAAATTGAGATCTGTAACGTTTCAATAAGGTTTTAAGTTCTCTGAAATCAAAGTCTGAGCCTAATACTAACAAGTTACAAGATTGAGAAAAAGACTTTGTTAACTTTGTTTTACTATACTAGCTTTTACCCGCGACTCCGTTCGCGTAGAATAGTGACTTCCTGCAGATTTTTGGTACAAACTATGTATGTACCAAATTTCACAGAAATCGGTTCAGTTGTTTAGGCGTGAAGAAAAGACAGACAGACAGACAGAGTTACTTTCACATTTATGTATATAAGTACGCATGATAGGTACTCAATAACCCTCTTCATTTTTTCACAGAACTGGGCTTTCCTCGCTCGTTTCTGTTTCCTTTCCCTGGAGGGACAGTTCGAGTATCTGATCGAGTATGACAAGGACGCCGGTATACCAAACCTCCTCCTGTATTATGATGATGACACGCAGTGGCCCTCCGTGTATCATAGTAGCAAGGTAAGGTAACAAAAATTAAAGATAAAAATTGTAAGATAAGGATTGTATTGTGTTTTAGCACGGGATAGCTATGCTTCGGCACGAATAGGTACGACCGAAATGAAACCACAGCCTCACAGAAAACTCGGCGAGTAAGAGCAGCTCGCCGCCCGACCAGAACCAGGCCCGAGCGTACGGCGCGTAGCGTTCAAGAGCCAATAAATTAAAGAGCCAATACGGGGCCCTATAGGGCTGATGTTCAGCCGGGGTTGCGGGGTAAGCGCAATGAGGCACCGCGACCTCGGCCAAGAGCAGGAGAAGGAACAGGGGGGTTTTTAGTCAGTAAGAGTCTGACACTCGCTCCCGCCCGTGTGAGTGAGGTTACTGGAGGCGTAAACCTTCCCCGCCCCCAAACCCTACATCATCGAAATCCTAATCCTCATAAAGTTGGCAACGCACTTGTAACTCCTCTGTTTTTGCGGGTTTCTACGAGTAAGCGCAACGCCGATTGATTACCATCACGTAATCCATCAACTCGTTTGACGTCCTATCACATAAAAAAAATATTCGAGAAACGCTCGACTAGTTTCAAGTCACAACGGAACTATTACCTATGATTATCGTGTGTAGCGCGACTTCTATAGAGTCGTTGTAATTAAGAATAAAGTTGTGGGGTAAAAAAATGGCGTTTGTTTCACGAAGATTTTACTTTTTGGTTGATTTTGAATTAGATTTTAAATTTTGGGGATTAGAGGTTCGGAAACTTAGTGATTGGGGAGGGAGGGGAAGGGATGGATTGGGTAATCTCACTCACACGGGGAAACACAAACGCTGTGGTTGTTTCTCGGCAGTATTCTGTGAGGCCGTGGTATCACTTCGATTGAGCCAGCCCATTCGTGCTGAAGAATGTTTCTCCCACATTATTTTAAAACCATGCAACAATTATATTCACAGACCTGTAAACAACGGGAAGAAGTATTGAACAGAGCTGGGCAGAACCAGATTATCAGACTGTCACACTGGTACCCTGACACGGAGTACTCAGGATGCATCATCACAAAACATAACAAGGAGTTGCCAGCTGCTAAAAGGTAAGGTTTTATTTTTGAACTAGCTATTCTCGCGCTGTCTCACCCGCTGCTCGGCTCTTCCTTTTTTTAAAAAAAAAACTTGCCCCACACTCGGACTTTCTTTTCTGTCGTGGGTGCGTTTACAAACATACAATTTAACATACACATACACATCACACCCAGACACGAAACAACAATTTGTGGATCACACAAAGTGTTGTTCCGTGCGGGAATCGAACCCGCGACACGTTGCACGGCAGCCAGTTGCCCAGCCACCGCACGAAGCGTGCAGTCTCTCAATGTTATATAGTCATATTTTATGGCTTTTTAAACCTCGACTGTATATCCAGGAATATTTCAAGATCACAATAAGTCATGTCAGTTTAGTCTTTCTCGAGTTTTAGTGAAACTAGCGAACAGCAATTCATTTTTATTTATAAAAAATAATAACGACTTAATCACGTGAATTAAGAGAAAATCAAAAGATCGGGCTAAGAGATAAGAGAAAATAAAGGGATCGGGATTGGCGGTTTCTAACTTAAGATCCTTAACCCTTCCTCCATAAGTGTGGGAGAGCCATGTTTCAGCACGAATGGGTCGGCTCGACCGGAGTGATACCACGGCTTCACAGAAAACCGACGTGAAATAACCACAGCGTTGTGTTTTGCCGTGTGAGTGAGGTTACCGCAGGCCCAATCTTTCCCCTCCCCCAATCCCTCCTCCATCCCTAAATCTCGAAATCCCTAATTCCTTAAAGGTCGGCAACGCACTCGTAACTGCTCCGTTGCGGGTGTCCACGGCGGCGCTGATTGCTTACCATCAGGTAAACCGTCTGCTCGTTTGACGACCTATTAGAAAGTACACATAACTCACAAAAAAGCCAATAATTTTCGTTTTTTTTTTGTCATAAAAATATCTTCTTATGACTTCATAAAAAAATTAACGAAATTCATTCACCTGTCCTTGAGATTTGCGCCTAACAACACATTTAGCGATTAATTTTTATATGGTAGAGTGAGTAGGGCAGAAATAGTAGGTAAGATAAGTATGGTAGGCAGGGTAGGTAGGAACGGAGCGCGTGAGCGAACTATCCTCCTCGCGCCCCAGCCGCTGCAGTAGGCGACATTCCGGGCGTCGGGGATCTAGAGATGATCCCCGGCCTCCGTAAGCGCGGGTCTACGGACGGCGAGTAAAGGTAGCTCGCCGCCCGACTAGAACTAGACTCGAGCGTACGGCGCGTAGCGTTCCGCGCGCGCCTCAATGAGCCAATAGACCACCACAAACGGGGCCCTATAGGGCTGATGTTCAGCCGGGTTTGCGGGGTAAGCGCATGAGGCACCGCGACCTCGGCCCAGAGCAGGAGAAGGAACGGGGGGGTTTTTAGTCAGTAAGAGTACACTCTATCTCGCCTAACCGTGAGCGGGAGAAGTCATTTGATGATAATCTCCTGACAAAAAAAGGGAAGGTAGGAAAAGTGGGCTAGAGTAAGAGTGAAACCGCGGGAAAAAGCTAGTATCCTATGATATAAATACTTGTTTATTGTTAGGTAGGTACTAGAATCTCAGTACACAAACCTTGGGGCAATCGTGTGGGTAATTGTGATTGCTCTCAATCTAAGAAGGGACGCGATCTTGACCTATCTCATTCACTGGACCCTACCCAACGTATTGTATTTACGTCATGTGATCACAAATTTAAAAAAAAGCATTCGCTGTTGTTTGGTTCCTACTCCAATTGGGTAGTTTCCTAGGTCAAAAATAAATTATTTCGACGTCTCAATACAATAAAATATTGAAAAATAACTATACTTTTATTCATCAATCGAGCGATACACTAATTTTTAGTTTTTTTTAGCTAATTATTAAGAAATGAGTAAGCTATTTGACGCAAAAAAGTTATGACGTCATAGCTCAGTTTTTCATACAAATTTCATAGAAAAGTATCGTTTTTGACGTTTGGATAAAAGTATTGAATTTGACTAGTTGGAAACTACCGTATTGTTTGATATTCCATTTTGTCTAATTCAATTGTTTTTTTTAATTGATATGTATTCTACTAACCTGTTCCAATAATGTTCTGAGTCGGCTTAAATGTTTTAATAAGGTTGTGGAAACTGTTTTGGATGATGTTTGGTTTAAAATGTGTTTGTTTTATAAAAAAAAAGTAAGTTTTTCGTTATAAATAATTTATTGCATTCATTAATCAAGGGTTAGAATGTTAATTTGCACAGACGGGGCCCTATAGGACTGATGTTTAGCCGGGGTTGCGGGGTAAGCGCAATGACGCACCGCGACCTCGGCCGAGAGCAGGAGAAGGAACAGGGGGTTTTTTAGTCAGTAAGAGTCTGACACTCCCACCTTCCCCACCAGTGCCCATTGGCTTCTTCTTACACGGAGAAGGTAGCACTAATCAACGTTTGCTCAAGCCGGATTGGTGATTTCAGATCTATAATACTTAGAAATAGTAAGTCCAAGTTTCCCTATGATGTTTTCTTTTACCATGTGTCAGTGGTATCGAAATAAACTTAGAATATACAGAAAATATAAAGGTTTGGAGGTCGTATCGGTTAGGAAGTACCGGTGCCGAAAGATCATTCCAAAGTTTTGGTGTGCGGGGCAGAATGTTTTGCGAAAATCGCACAGTTGTTGACTGCCAACCATCTATGTGATGGGGATGAAAATGTCTTGGCGTGGGTCGATGGCAAAACGATGCGGCGGGAATCGAACTGAACAATTCTTTAATGATGTTACGTAAACGCATCCAGGACACAGGGGCTAAAGTTTATTTCGATTTTAAACTAGCTACTCACGCTGTTTCACCCACTGCTCGCCTCCATGTGATCGTAGCGTGATGTTTTATAGCCTACTAGCTTTTGGCCGCGACTCCGTTCGCGTGGAATACTGACTTCCTGCAGACTTTTGTTATAAAAACTATTCTATGTCCTTTCTCGAGTTCCAAATTATGTCTGTACCAAATTTCACAGAAATCGTTTAAGTAGTTTAGCCGTGAAGAAAAGACAGGCAGACAGACAGAGAAGATTCCGAATAAAAACAGCTTTCTTTCTTTCTTTCTTTATTTCTTTCAGACAGACAGAGTTACCTTCGCATTTATACCTAATATTAGTTTCTATAGCACTCAGGAACATTGTAGCTATCTATCAGTGAAAGAATTTTAGAAATCCGACCAGCGATTTCAAATATTAGCCTCTTTATAATAGAAAACATTCATTGTAAGTTGAGTAAAAATTTGTAAAATCTAATTCTTAGTTGGGTTACTGACATCACAATGACGTTAGAAAAGAGCAACTGACCTATATTTGTTAACACATTCGTCCGTGGGGCGCCCACAGCTCAATGCAGTTAGCACTCAGATAATAGTTTAACTAATCTAAAAGCAATCTTGGTTTGTTTTAACTGTTATTTATTAGTGTTATTATGTAGTCTAATGTCTTTTTAGCTGTTTCACCTACCATGACCTGTCTCTGTATCACCCTAAGGTAGACTGTGCAATAATTGTGCAAAAAGTTCTAAATAAATAGTAATAATAAAAAAAAAATCAATACTCACTATTGTGTCACCTTCAAAATTTACTAAAAACAACAATTAACTGAAAAAAGCCTTACTATTTCCAAGTCACAAAGAAACAGGACGAAAGTTGACGAATAAGAGTCCCGTGGTGACTTGAAACTAGTTGAGCTGTTTCTCAGTTCATTTACATGAGTAAGTCGTTTATTTTTCAATAGGTTAGTCTAGATCTTCAATAGAGAGTTCAATAGATTAGAATTGTCCTTGAGGTTCATTTCTTTTTCGGATTCTTTGGTGTCCATTACCCAGGCCAGATGTTGTCGACAATGGTCATTTGAATCTTATAGATAATTAGTTGTGTGGCTTCTGTAATTGTTGCGCACATTTTCAAATTTGTTGCGCTTATAGTTTTTTAATTATTTCACAAAAACATTTCCTGCTGGCGTAACGTTACCACAGCCAGACCTTTTTCTTTCTAATGGGAATTTTTAAATAAATATTAGCTATAAAATTAGTTGTCTAGATAAAGTAAATGTTGTGCCTTATTTTGTATTTGTTCTTTCTTCGGTTGCGAAGTTATTCGAGATTTTGCTGCGGTAACGTTTTTGGTTTTTGTAGATATTTGAAATGGTTAAGCGGATTCTTATCATATTTTGTACACGACTTCCGAGGACTTAGTTTAAATTTGTTGTGCAATAACAAAACCAAAATAATGCATATTTTAAAGGTTATTTCATTAAATAGAAAAACACTTCAATTGGCCCCCGCACTCTCAATAAGAAGTCCAAAGACTTACTTTAAACGTAATTTTAAAGCTTGTAACTGCCTTCAAATGTATGTGAAGTTTCATTAGTATCCCGTAAGTATTTAACAAGTTATGATGATATTCAGTTCTTCACGAGCACGGTCTTAATGCACGCAGTGTTATTTGGCCACTGGATTGGATATATGAACTGAATGTTATGTCAATGATTAGTTGTTTAGATCAGTTGTATATCAGTAAAATTTCAGCTCAATACATTGGATAATTAATGAAATAATACTATTAAAGTCATTAGGAAGTGAATGACCGTGGTAAGCCGACCAAGTTAAAGTGGTTACGAAAAAGCGAAAACGCAGAACATCCCTTCTAAAATATGTAGGATAGTGTTATAAATTTAGTACAGACATGTACAAAAGTTTTAAAAAAACTACATGATTATTTAAGATTTTTTATTGAAAGGTAAAATAATCATTTTAATTGAACTTTTACTCCCTTACTTATAAAAACTTGTGTTGCTTAGCTTGAAAAAACTGTTGCGACTCGTCTATGAAAAAACCGACGACGCCCAAGGTACTACTTTAGACTACCGTAAAAACAGACACAATTTAAGTCAATAGATGTTTGAACGCCGCTGTTCGCTTGGGGGGGGGGGGGGTAGAATAGAATATTAGTTGTATTGACCTAAACGATTGTTCCATGTGTATAATATGTTATTGTATGTTTATAAACGCATTCACGACATAGGAAAATAGACTAGAGTGAGCCAACGTTTTTGATAAAAAACTGTTTTTTTTTACAGCACAACAACAACAAAAGCAACAGAACCACCGGTGAAAAAACCCAAAAATTCAACCAAACTGACACCCCCGGAACCGTCGTACTACGATCAATTTTTAAAAACAACCACTCGAGACCCAAAAGCAATAACAGATCCTAATACAAATACCACATGGTTTGAATTACAACCGACTGATGGAAATTTCACTACTATGACTCCTGAAGATGAACTATGGGAAAGCATAGCGCCAGGTAACGGAAGCCATTTTGGAAATCTGAAAGATGACGTTGAAATTCTTTTTGAAAATGGAAATCGAAGCGGGGTAAGTTTTTTGGAGAAGCTTCTTGACTATTTGAATATTAATTTTTAAATTCAGATTTTTGTCCTTTTTTGTCAGTGAAGAGAAATCTACAATAGTAAGTTATAAGGCATAGAACGGCGGCTAACTACGGCTAAAAAACTATCAAATATGAAGGAGCACAATTATATAATAATCTACCAAATAACATTAAGGAAAGTAAATCGCTTGCAGTGTTTAAAACTAAATTAAAATGTCTATGATAATATTTATTAAAAATTGCTCGATCGCTGTATGTTATAATTAGATATATTTGTTATTTTTAGTTAAGCTCATTATTAAGTGAACTATGTATTGTTCTTAATGAGTATTATATTCGTTAAACCTAAACCTAAACCTAGCCCTTTAGCTAGGTGGAGTGACATACATAAGTTGGCTAGCAGTGGTTGGATGAGAAGAGCTGAACATCGAGCTCAGTGACGTGAAACTGAAGTAGCCTATGTCTAGCAGTAGCCGGAAACGGACTGATAATGAGTCCTACTTACCTATGCATTGCATAAAAAATCACTAATCCTATTGTCTAGAATAGCAGAAGGCACTTGCCTAAAATGACCCCGATCCCCAGATCCGATTTATTTTCTGTAACTTAAAGCCAATCTAAGAATCTCAATCCTGGTGTTTGGCAAAAAAGGTTTATCGTTTTCATATCCATCCTGATCTGTAAAGCATAGATTGCAAAAATATCTTCTTCTCTTCTTTTTGTTTAGGTATTAAAACTTCTTGCACAATATACATCTGATCTGCGGACTTAACGCCTTAGGTTTTCTATTGCAGTCCACCGTAGGGTGGTTGAGAAATAGAAATTTCTTTTTATGCGAATAAGGTCGCATTTATTTTAACAACTAGCTTTTGCCCGCGACTTCTTTCGTGTGGACTTCAGGTTCATCCCGTCTAGTCTAGTAATAAGTAAGAAATACGGTAACTAAGCACTGCATAGCCCTAATCATAGGTCTATAGGTAGCTACTGCAGTATGCTCCTATAAACTACATTTAACGATCTTTTTCCTTCAGCATAAACATGCAGATTCTTCGCTTTGGAAACGTACTTAAGCGCAAAAAAATAGTTTTTTATGACCTCACATTAGAAACCTCAAAATTTGTAGCCTACTTGTTATTCTGATGTATAAGCTATATTGTGGTAAAGTTTCATTCAAATCCATTCAGTAGTTTTTACGTGAAAGAGTAACAAACATCCATACATCCATACTTACAAACTTTCGCCTTTATAATAGTAGTAGGATTTTGATCTTTACCAGTCCAGAAAATAACTTTTTTTCTTTTCTTCCAGCACAAAATCAAAAGATCTTTAGACCTCTACGAAAGGTACCGACGGCGCCGTCTGAACGCTGAACCGAAAGCTCTTGCGAGTCAGAGCGAGAAGGAGCATCTGGTTGTCTCCTGCCACAACTCTAGAAGGTTCAGGTCTGCTAGGGAGAGGTGGTGGTTCATTGCCATCAGCAATTGCGAAAGTAATAAGGTAAGGTGCTGGTATGCTTCGATTTAATTGTAAGAGAGTCATGCTTTGGCGCGAATGGGCCGGTTCAACCGGATAATACCGGCGTGAAACAACCACAGCGTTATATTTCGCCGTGTGAATGAGATTAATGCCTAATTCTCCATCCTTTATTCCTTAATCCCCATAACCTACATAAGGTCTGATAAGGTTGGCAATGCACTTGTAGTAACTCCAGCAATGCAGTTATACAAGTGTCCATGGACACGACACCGACTGCTTACCATCAGGTAATCCGTCTGATCGTTTGCCAATCTTTAAAATATATTAAGTTGGGTGCAGTTAAACGGGGTGAATAGAATTCGAGGAGTGAATAGAGACATAAGAGGGGTGACTAGATACTAGGAAAATTCGTCAACATCACATAATATTCTTTTCTTATTTCTATAGGTACCCCTCAAATTCTATTCGTCCCGTTTTACGGTACTAACTTTACGAGGGAGAACCAAACTTTAACACGAGTTCATCGACTCAACCGGAGTGATGCCAAGGTCTTACAGGAAACCAGCATGAAGCGACGCTTGTCTTTTCAAGGTTATCAGAGGCCCAAAGCTTACACCCATTCCTAATCTCCAAAATACCGTAAACGATCTTGTAAAACTTTTGTTGTTTCGTTGTACAGGTTATCCGCTTGCACGTTTATAGCCCTTATCTGCCAAAATATTGCATTATAGGCGCGATGGTCAATGATTATCATACCGACAATTAATTGCTTCCAGGGTCTGGACATTCGATACAAGTTCCTGATGACGAACGGACCTGATGGTGACTTTTGGCATGAACACTTCTCTGCTGACGAGTTTTGTGAGTAAAGTGTTAAGAAATAAATAAATGGAATTAGTAACATGTATCCCAAATAAGATTCCTCAAAGATGACGACCAGGCAGTGGTGAACTTCTTCTATAAATATTAAAATAAATAGCTATTCGACCATTCTCTAGTGGCGTTGGGCCACTTTAGAGAATGGTCGAATCGATTTCGCTAATTCTTTAGTAAAACATAACATACGTTGTATTTAGTATATTTATTTAATAATTTTTGTACACACAGTAAGTTGGACAAGAAAAATAATACAACAATTAGGTACAAAGGCACAGCTTATTTCTTCAGAAATCTCTTCCAGCAGGCCCGTTATGGGAGAGTTAGAATAAAAAGTTGTGTAGACTGACTGTGTAAACACAATTAAGAAAAAGAAAAACAATAAGAATTAATAAATTAATAAACTATTAAACAGCAAAAATATATAAATACATAACATATAAACACCATATATATATACTAAGATCCATTATGAATTAAGATAATTTATATGGAGAGAACAATATACTCTCCACCATTTGAATCACACTAGTACAACGAATAACGGACGCTAGGTAGTCTTTTTTTGTGGAGGGAAAAGTATCAAATGACTAGGCAGAATGATGAATGAATGATGATTTTTAGTCAGTAAGAGTTGACACTTTCTCTCGCCTCACTATGGAAGAGAAGTCGTGTGATAATTTTGCCCACACAAAAGCAACTCAGTAAAGAAGCGGATTCAGGTCGCTTCGAACTGCCTCCATCTGAAAGCCATTGAAGGAGAACTAGTATGACGATTTTTTAGAGGAGAAGAATCATCGGTTAACCGACGCATCCTGACTAATCAGATTTACTAGCTGACGAATATGATCAAATCAAATAATTTACACACACACACGCAGGTGCATGTATATATGATGAACAAGATATGGTTGCGCTTAAGACATGTTTGCCATTCGTCATGGCATGCAAATTTCAAGTTACAAGCAAATAGTCAATGATTTTAATAATTTAAAATGTTAATGTTTTCAAATTATTAGATTACATTTTAGATATGTCACAATATAAGTAAATTTATCACAGTCATAGATTTCAATAATAAATGATAATCTGAAATAAAAAATAAATAAAAAGAAATAGTAATAAATAATTTTACAAACTAGTCAATAAAATAATAATATGTCTTACAATTTAGTCAAATAATTGTATCGTTCATAATCGTGATTAATGTGATGATAAAAAATGACAGCTCAACAAATATTTTTTCGCAGATGTCCTACCAGTACTCCTGGCGTACACCATTGCGTATGTCGTCGTGATGATAGCCGTGGTGATGTGTAGTGTTGAGCTGAAGTCTCGACACCTTCTCCACTCGACGTATAAGCTGTTCCTAATGTCGGTCGTGTCACAACACTCCGGAGTTATGCTGCAAAGTTTAGCCTACATACGATATGCTGCTAACGGATTTGGAACTGACAACGCTAAGATTGTCGGTGAGTTTCCTGAAAATGAAAAATATTCTATCAATCCAATCCTTAACCTCCCGCAATCTCTCCTCCATCCCTAAATCTCCAAATCCCTAATCCCTAAAAGGTCGGCAACGCACTTGTAACTCCTCCGTTGCGGGTGCGGGTGTCCATGGGAGTCGCTGATTACTTACCATCAAGTAATCCGTTTGCTCGTTTGCCGATCTATTACATAAAAAAATTAATATTACATTATAAGTTAACAATAGCCCTGAACTAGGCAAGGCCTGTATCTTGGGAGGTGTATTAATTGCATAGTGCGGAAAGCGAACAGCCAATTGACATTCGGAATATCAGAGAATGTAAAAGTGAATTTAAGGATTGCGGATTGAGGAGTTGACATTTGAGATATGGGGAGGGGGGAAGGGGGGAAGGCATTGATAGAGAAGCAAATTTAGTAGCATTAAATGTAACTTTTTACCCTACTTATGTTATCAGTCTAATAGGAAAGTTTCTTGGAAGGTTTCTTCACGATTTGCATACGGGACCACTGTTATGAGGCTTCAGGTTTCTCAAAGCAAATGCTATAATAAATGAATTCCTTAGATTGCCATACAGAGATTTTATGTTGTCATTGGGTACTTCAGTTAATTAATTTAAATATATTTCGAATTGACGTTGTAGCGACATCTATCGCACAACACTGACAACAGCACCAATCACGTGCAAGTTTCTACATCGCGCTATAGGAGTTTACAGCACAATTAGCACTGATACAAAAATCCCGACGAAAACCGTCGGGCAGTAGCCCACCAGGCACGAACACCTCGCCTGGTCGGAGGATCCTCCCTTTTCAATGGAGGATGAGGAACTTTCCACCCTTTTAAGAGTTTTCTATAAATGTTTTACCGAACTGTGAGTTATTATGCAATGTGTTTTGCGCTACACAGTATAATTGCAAAGTCACTTTCTTAGTCCCAATATCCCTGTGTCCCAAGCTTAATCTTTAAGACTACGTAGTGGATTTGGATGCGGTTTTTTATTGGATAGAGTTATTGAAAAGGATTCTTTTTATTATGTAGGTATTATAACATCCATTAACTCATTTATCCCGGGCGGGTATTTTTTGACTAAATCTACAAGCAAGTCATACTTCATATTTTCTTTTCCAGGTCAATTCCTTTGTGGTCTATCAGAAATGTCGTTTCTTTTACTCTTGGTGTTAATGGCTAAAGGATACACCATAACTAGAGGTCGTCTGAAGGTCGGGTTCACTGTTCGCCTGACTGTTTTCATGTGTTGTTATATCGTCACCTATATCGTTCTGTTTATATATCAAGCTAAGGTAAGATTTAGAAGCATTCAATGTTTTATTTGTAACTACAAAGAAAATACGTATCGCTGATATGGAACAACTCTTTGTGTGATTCCTAAATTGTCGTCCCAGATGTCTGGTTTCTTTTTGTGAGTGCCAAATCATCCTATGACTTCTCCCGCCCAGGGCCGGGCGGGAAGAGTGTCAGACTTTTACTGACTAAAAACCCCCCTGTTCCTTCTCCTGCTCTGGGCCGAGATCGCGGTGCCTCATTGCGCTTACCCCGCAACCCCGGCTGAACATCAGCTCTATAGGGCCCCGTCTGTGGTGGTCTATTGGCCGTTTGAGGCGCGTGCGGAACGCTGCGCGTCGTAAGTGTGGTGTGTATGTGAACTATATGTTTGTAAACGGACCACGACACAGTTGAAGTAAGTGGCGGGTCCATGTTTAAAAAAAACAAAACACAGCACAGAAAAAAAATATCGGATCCATGTTTAAAAAAATTAAATTTATGCCAATTTAACAAAGCCCCTTACGAGTCGCATGAAATGGCGTAATCGCCTGATGGTAAGCAATCAGCGCCTTTATCAAGTCATTTCACCCTAGATGACTGTTGAGAAAATCGCTGACAACTCTGGTATTCTTTCAGGCCTTCGATCCTGGTGAAGTTCTGTACCTATACGAGAGTCCAGCTGGATATGGTCTCATCGTGCTGAGGATCCTCGCGTGGTGCATGTTTGCTTACTCGACCTTCTTCACCGTGAGGAAGTACCCTGAAAAGGTGAGGGGATTTCTTTAAATAAAATTGGATTTATCAAACATGCCTTTCGGTTTTTACTGGTTAATGTCGCTTAGAATAGAATAGTAGAAATATTTTTCTTAACCGAATAGGGTGTGATTGTATTTCTCTTCCTTTATTGAGATACTAGCTACTCTAGCGCGGTTTCACCTGCTGCTTGGCTCCATTTAATCCTAGCGTGATGTTTTATAGCCTATAGCACTCAGGAACATTGTAGCTATCTATCAGCGAAAGAATTTTGGCAATCCGACCAGCGGTTCCAAAGATTACCTCCTACATACAAATTTACAAATTTTACCTCTTTATAATATTAGTATAGATTGTCCCATCTTAAAGTGTTGCGGACGCATTTACGGTCATAATTATAGATTCACTTAATTGTGTGTGTTTATCAAAATAACACTTCATATCCAGACCAGAAACAACAATTTCTGAAACAAAGAAAAAAGGGTAAAAACTGACCGTTTGATATATTGTGCAGCAGTCTTTTGCCGAGCCGCTGCGCTAAAAGTGCAGTATTCAAATATCATTGGCTTACTGTTACTATAATTTTTATGACGATAATATAATAATTGTGTGGTGCTTAGAACTGATGTGTAGGTAATTATGAAAGGAGTCAAATAATCTGCCCTCTATTAGCTCAAATTTATGACATCTGCAGTGTGATTCTGTAAGACTTAATTCTAAACTTTGAATCTGAATCCGCTGTGAGTAGTAGTACACTAGCGCTACACTTGCGAGTTGAACTAAATTGACAGCATCATTTTGAAAGATAAAGTATGAAATGACGTTAAAAGTGGCATTCAAAAATTTAATTTACCCGTCACTTCGACGCTTACTTCGCACTCGAACACGATTCAAAATCAAACAAATTTTATAGAATCGACGTGCAGAATCACATGATGACGTAGAATGAGGGTGATGACCGCCAAAACTGCTCAAATGCTAAAATTTGAGAAGTAACTAGTTCTTCGATTGTGTAGAATTTGATAATTAAAACACGTTGTAAAATAATGCTTAGTTTCTGGACTAAGATATAGTCAGCCCTACATTAAAGGCACGGTTGGCGCGGTGGCTGGGGAACTAGCTGCCGTGCAACGTGTCGCGGGTTCGATTCCCGCACGGAACAACTCTTTGTGTGATCCACAGATTGTTGTTCCGGGTCTGGGTCTGATGAGCATGTGAAATTGTATGTATGTCTTTGTAACCGCACCCACGACACACCCACGAGAAAATCCTAACGTGGAGCAGCGTTTTGAGTAAAAAAAAATGCGGGCAATTTATTTGAGGATCATGCCCGCACTGAGATCATTTTCCAAACGTTTTAACTTAAAATGTCTGGAGTTATCTATCAGATTCGAAAATGTTTGCTGTTTGGGGGTCTAGTTCTTTTTTTTCTAAAAAAAGCCCCACACTACGATTTTCTCCTGTGTCGTGGGTGCGTTTACAAACATACAATTTCACATACACATGACACCCAGATCCGAAACAACAATTTGTGGATCACACAAAGTGTTATTCCGTGCGGGAATTGAAACCGCGACACGTCGCACGGCAGCCAGTTGCCCAGCCACCGCGCCAACCGTGCAGTCAAGGTCTGGTTCTTTGATCAGCATTAATATTATTGATAGTATTAGATATAAGACAGACGCCATTAAAGAAGGAATAAGAGTTGTAAAAGATGTGTTATTGTTTTTTCAGAACATATTCTATTGCCCCTTCTTCATCTGCGGCACGCTGTGGTTCTATGCTGGACCTCTGTTCATACTCACTGCTAATACTTATATAGGTTTGTTTTTTTATGTTAATTGTAAATTAATAGATGTAACCGTGACGCATGCCATGCCAAGTCATTTGATGATTTTCCCATCACAAAAAAAAATCATAACATGAGAACCCTCATTGAACACGCAACCTATAATAATATTTACTTTAATAGATTAATAAAAAAATCTAAGAAAATAAAAATCCTCAATCATTGACAATAACGACTTACTCACGTGAATTCACTGAAAAAAAGCTCTACTAGTTTCAAGTCAAAACGGGAGAAGCGAGCGCGTCGCAGCGACGTCACGCAGCCAAATTTAGTATGCCTCACGACAGGTCGTTATAATTGAAAAAATACCAGAAAAATCTTTTAATGAATTTAAACTCTTACCAACTAAACTTACTAAACCTTTATTCATCTTGCGTTCCGAGCCGGGGTCGTGGTAGGTAAATTATTGTTCATGCACCTGCAACTCCAACCACTTTTTTTGTGAGAGGAAAATCTTTCTATCACATCTCCCGCCCAGAGACGGGCGGGAGGGAGTGTCAGACTCTTACTGCTCTGGGTCACATCAGCCCTTTAGGGCCCCGTCTGTGGTGGCCAATTGGCTCTTTGAGGCGCGCGCGGAACGCTACGCGCCGTACGCTCGGGTCCGGTTCTGGTCGGCCGGCGAGTTACTCGCCTTCCGTGGACCTGCGCTTTCGATGGCCGGAGATAGTCTCTCGATCCCCAACCCCTAAGTTTCTACCGTAGAGTACCTAATAGTTATTTGATTGGTTACAGATAAATGGGTGCGAGAAAGTGTGGTCACTGCTGTCCTACTATTTATATCATTTTGTGGACACATCATGTTCTTAGTAAGTATTTAAAGCCCACTTTATATCCTGATTTTTTTATGTGATAGAACGCCAAAATAGCAGATGAATTACCTGATGGTAAGCAATCGACGCCACTCATGGACATTCGCAACTCCAGAAGAGTTAAGAGTGCATTACCGGCTTTTAGGGGATTAGGGTTTTGGAGACTTAGGGATTCGAAAAGGGGAAGACGAATTGGGTCTCCGGTAACCTGGCTCACAAGGCTGTGGGTGTTGGACGCCGATTTTCTGTAAGGCCGTTTCACTTCGGTCGAACCGGTTCATTCATGCCAAAGCATGGCTCACCCACAACTAAATGCCGACCTATTCCATGACGTCTCTAGGATGAGTAGAATAAAACTGTCAACTATAGTCCAGCAGTTTCACTTATAAAAACAATATTTTTTATTTTTATTACAGCTGCTGACGCTACCAGTATTTGCGAATAAAAACTTCCCCTACCACGTCAGGACCACGCAAATTGGAGTTATGGAGGTAACAAATTATCGAAACTTATAGCCTAAAAGCCCAAAAAGAAACTATAGCTCATATTGGTCATTATATATAACGCCATACCCATTTAAAAAGACTATAGAATGTATTTCTCAACATCCTATTCCCGCGAGTTATCAAAATCAAAAACATTTATTCTAACTAACCCTTATACGGGTGTTTTCAAATCAAAACAGAATGATAGTCTTTCAGTCAGTTCGCCAATCAGTGTAGATTTGAACGGAGAAGAAACTCCATCATGCATTCTGGTTAAGACATTTAGTAAAAGCTCTTAAAAAGGATAAATTGATTAATGCATTTTCTAAATCCACAGGTGACTGGGAACGCGGCTCTAGACGGTTTTGGCCCAAACGCCTACCACCCAACTAATGCGGCACCACAGACTGTCATAATACCATTGACTAGGTAAGATAAAATCATTTAAGTGCGAGAGAGCCATACTTCGGCATGAATGGGTCACAGAAAACAGACGCAAACAACCACAGTGTTGTATGATCGTGTGAGTGAGCCTAGCCCTTCCCCTTCCCCCATCAATTCCCTCCATAATCCCAAAATTTCTGAAACCCTGATCCCCAAAAGGCCGGCAACGCACCCGTAACTCCTCTGTTGTTGAGGGTGTCCATGGGCGGCGCCGTTCCCTTACCATCAGGTAATCTTCATACCAAAAATAATACTTCTCACTCGTTGCGTAGTCTTCTAGGATTAAAGCCTTTTGAGAGCGACGATTGTCAAATGGCTTGAGGAAGTAAGGGTAACTAACCGCCCGACCAAGACCAGACCCAAGTGCGTGGAACTCGATGTGCCGTAGCTACACTCGGATCTGGTTTTTCAAAGACCTATCAGACTGCCTCAAATGGTGATTACTAGAGCCCATGTCCAGGCAGGATGTAAGTGCACTGATGTGCCACGGTCTGATCAGAGAAGGAGAAAAAACGGGGTCGATTTTAGTCAGTAAGAGCACTCTGAAGTAAACGAAAGAAGACAGTTTTAAGTCAAAAAAGTTTGTCATAGGGGGTAATATCATTAATGACTGGATGAATCACGCCCAGGGTGAGGTGAAATCCCGATAGGGAATGGCAGACTCTTACTGACTAAAAACGTCCCTGTTTCGTCTCTTGCTCAAAATCGGGGTACCGCATTTGAACGGCTTCCAACCTCAGCTTATCAGAACATGGGACAAGAAGTGCAATGAAACGTAAAAAAAAGAGACATTTATGTCATTTGTATTAGATATGCTATTAAAACTTCTTTTAACCTAATCTCTAAAAATTTCAGACGCACAGAAGAACTAATAGGCAACATGTACAACCAATACATGGCGACCGCGCCCCCTCTCACCTTAGAAGACCAACCGCCAAAACTAAAGAACATACCAAAAAGAATCGACTCAATATCACCAAAACATCGCCTCATATCTCAAGACAGTACAGATACCAACTCATCGGGCGATATAAAACCAATAATACAAAAAGACGAACCAACGAAAGAAATATTTACCGTTGAAAATCAAATTTCGAAAATGGAACCCGCTGTGTTGCCAGTTCCTAAACCGGTTCCAGTGTTGCCAGAGAGAAATTTGGAGGATATCAATAGAGGGGATTTGCCTAATGTTATGAGGTCGAGGAGGAATATGTTAGAGCCTATTAAAAGGGAGGATAATGTGCCCTCCTGGTCCCTCGCTAAGGGGCCTTGTGTTGTTGGTATGCTGAAGAAGACGAAGAATGTTGAGGAAGGTCTGTATCGGGTTAAATTTTGTTTGCTTAATTTGTATCAGACACAAGCAGATCTGAAATACTTTGGTAAAAAAATGGTGAGGTAATCTGGAGATATTATTATTATTTCTATTTAAAATATTTTCAATAGCGAATACGTTATGACCAACCCTTGATTTAACGAGTGATATAATGTGGCAGACAAAATTTGTGTGCTGATGGTTAATGCTCAAATCTTCTCCGTGTGAGGAGAGGCCTTTGCTCAGCATTGGGTACTTAAATCGAAAATGTACTTAAAGGCTGGTTTTGAGCTAGTGTTAGTTTATATTTTTACTAGTTTTTGCTCGCGACATCGTTCGTATAATAGTTTTTTTTTGTGAGGGGAAAATCATCAAATGACTTCTCCCGCCCAGGGCCGGGCGGTGTGGAGTGTCAGACTTTTACTGACTAAAAACCCCCTGTTCCTTCTCCTGGTCTGGGCCGAGGTCGCGGTGCCTCATTGCGCTTACCCCGCAACCCCGGCTGAACATCAGCCCTTGAGGGCCCCGTCTGTGGTGGTCTATTGGCTCTTTGGAAACACTGTTGTCACCAGTCAAACACCACATTTTTCAGATTCACCAGAGCTCAACATCCTGACCAACGGAAGGAAAGTTCCTCCAGTGAGGAACGGTCTCCAGTCGAGTTCTGGAGAAATATCAACCATCATGGAAGGCAGAGTCCAAAGTTATCCAAGTGCAGTCAGCAAAGCTACTATAGACCTGTTCAGTGTTGGTAGCCATAAAGGCTGATGTTTTTTGAAGAATGTATTTTTTTATGTGATAGGTCTGAAAATAAGCAGTTGGTATACCATCGTAAGCAATCAGCGCCGCCCATGGAAACCCAGAATACCAGAGGAGTTACGAGTGTGTTGGCGACTAGGAATTAGAGACTGGGGAAGAGGAAAAGGAAGGATTGGCCTCCGCCTCCGGTAATCTCATTCGCACGGCGAAACACAACACTGGTTGTTTCACGCCGGCTGTCTGTGAACCCATGGTTTCACTCCGGTCGAGCCGGCCCATTCGTGCCGAAGCATGCCTCTCCCACACTTAGACTCCACTGGTCTTTTCGTCTTATTTTATGGGTTGTAGATTGTAGTTTAAATAGCAAAACTGAGTAGACTCTAAACTCCTTTAGAAAATAAAAGATGCAATATTTTGTAACTTAAAAACTCAATTTCTCAAATCAGTAATTAAATTAGTGCCGCACTCAGAGATGTTTAATGATTACTTAAACTATTATTAAGTAATGATTTTGTTTCTCATTAATTGACTCTGAGTACGGTGGTTGGTGACTTTTAGTGTATAGGGGGAGTGATACCAGTTTTGTACTGAAATAGAAAATGGCGCCCAAATGGGACTATTTGGAAGATGTGTGCATTATCTTGGTTGGGAACTTTTAGGTTATTTTATATATGTAGAATTGTAAGATATAAATTGTAATTATAACAGTTTTTTAAAGGTGTTCTCGGTCTGATTTGGTATTTACTGTTCACGGGAAGCTTTGAAAAGTTTTGTGTTGATAGTGTTAATCATCGTTGTCGAAGATAGCATTCTAATTGTGTAAAATATAAAAGTACCTACAGTATCACAATATTGGCGCCCAAATGGGACACGATATAATAATATGATCAAATGAAAAAAGTACAGTGACAGTTAATTATCCTTTCTATAGTTTTTTAGTCTAATGACAAGTAGAATTTCATCGCCATAGTTTTATTTTAAAGGGATTTAATTATTTGATTTGGTGCAAATTGCGTGATCCGAGTTATTGGCGCCCAAAAGGGACACAAAAATACTCATAAAATTACATGCTAAACAAAACAGTCTGATTTAACACAATATGTTATTGAAACATAGCAAAGAAAAATACAACCTAGAGTACTTTCTTGTGTGCAACAATTGATATACAAAGTCAGGATTTGAGGAATTAAAATAATAGTTAAGTATCGTTTCTGAAATTTCAAATTTCGATACCAGTTGTATTGAAATTTAAAATTTCAGATTATTATTGTATTTGACTAGTTGGAAACTTCTAGACTACGATATCACTCTAAGCGTGTAAATGTAAATACTAGTACATAAGTAATTTTAATTTATTTGATAAGTTTTAGTGACGAAGTGGCGTTAAATTAATTTTTAAGTGCGTGTGTGTGTGTGTGTGATATAGTGATTTTTCTAGTCGTGCCGCCATATTAAGTTACTGAATGGTCATTTAACCTATTCCTTAGCAATCGTTTTGGTAATATCCTATCACTACATAGTATAAAACAAGCTCGCTTTCTCTGTCCGTATACCCCTGTGAATGCTGAAATCTTTAAAACTGAAATTGTTGTTTTAATAAAAGGAGTGATTAAAGAGTAATGTTTACAATACCGCCGACGTATATTGGCGAGTCTGAAGTTAACCGATTAGCTGCGCAGTACACAATTTAGTTCCTAAAAGATCCATTGCGCAGACAAACGGCTAACTTCAGACTCGCCAAGATATGTACGTCGGCCGTACTGTATATATGTATAACTAGCTACTCTCGCGCGGTTTCGCCCGCTGCAGATCCCCTACAGGTCGTAGCGTGATGTTGTGTAGCCTATAGCACTCAGGAATATTGTAGCTATCTATCAGTGAAAGAATTTTGGAAAACCGACCACAGGTTCCAAAGATTACCCCCTACATACAAACTTACAAATTTTACCTCTTTATAGTATTAGTATAGATAACATCCATTAAATACTACAGATATTTAATATCAGCGTTGGACCCATGCGAAGCCGGGGCTTTTCGTTAGTTAATATTATGAACGCTAAAGTTTGTTACACTATTACGTAAAAACTACTGAACGGGTCACTCAATCAAATTCAGAAAAACAGATAGGCTACTAAAAAGGTTAAGGTCGCTACCAAAACGAATTGTAACTAAGGAATAGAATAAGTAATCATTGCCCATGTTTCTGAGTACCTACGGCGGATAATGTAGAATTTTGAAATAAATAATTCTGAAAATAGTTCAGAGGGCCTAGACAAGTGGCACAAACGCTAGTAGAATAGAATGGTTTATGAATGAATTGACGTCATGAAATTTGATCTATCGTTTCGAACGTGTAATTGGTAGCCATGTGTATCACGATTCTATTCCATTAAACGAAACGACAATGTAACACGATATTCTCCATACAAATGCGTAGCCAAGTGGCACATTTGACAAGCGAATTCGACTGTAAACGTTTCTAATGTACGCTTACGAAGCGAACGCTAGGACCCTGTAGAAAACGCTACGATACACTACCCAAGATGGCGATTATTGAAACAGCTGTTAGATACCGGTAGTTGTTTTTGTGAACAATTTCGTTTAAATTAATAAAATTTGTACAAATGCACGCACTTATATTATTGTGGGCGGTGTCCAAGCCGTGTACGGCTTGGGCGTCATTGAAGAAATAAATTTCGTCATTTTTTAATGCAAATTAGTGAAATACTGGTGTATATGTCGCAGTAAGATAGATGTAGCCATAATATAGTTATATCCCTAGGGATATAATTATATACTGGAACATAGTTATACGAAAGCGATTCATTACTATCTTTATAAAATATATGGGATATAGTTATAAAACGGACCAAGTTTAGTGATATACTTATATTACTAGATTAAGTGTAGTGAAATAGCTTTATAATAGTTGTTCGGTGTTCACTTCTAGTTTTCGTGCATGTGCATTTAATTGCTACGCTTGCTTAGCATTTGTATTCGTTTTATAATTGGTAATTACTTGCGCCAGCCATGAATTAAGATGAAGAAATGAATGCAGGTGGCGTGCGCCAAGGGAACGTCGGCCTTGCCCTTCAGGACATTGCCAAGTATCGGAAGAGTGCTGGGACCATAACCTTGGGGGCTCCCCTAGTTGTACTCAGCACTTAACCCGTTCTCTCCACAGCTTCGCCGGCCGCCTAACCGCGAATCGGCGCATAGGAACCCGTTGCACATTAAGATTGGTAGCGGAATTACTAGCTTAGGGAACACCAATAGATACTCACCTCCCTCCTCTCTTCGGCACACACCTCAAAATTGACCTCTTTGAAGGGTTAGAATTATAGGACCCCTCAGGCCAAAAGGCACCTAACCACCAATTTTGTTCGGGTTTCTTCTTCTTGGTGATAGGTGCTAGGAAGATACCCTAGGAGGGAATATTTTGGCACCTGCCTGCTGGAGGAGGCACGCATCCGTGGCATCTCAAGCAAAGTTATTGTTGTGTTGTAGGAACGTAGGCCCTCTTCATCATGGCCCTTCAGGCCCTGCTTCTTCGCCTTGTTAAAAGGCTGAACAATAGTTCAACACTCCAAGCTAAAGTTGAACCTCAGCTTGAGAAATTTGTTCTAGACCTGATTCCGGAATCCCCGGAATAACCTGCGCCGGAGAATTCAACGGAGGCCGTCCCTCTCGCCTCGGAGTAGATACCCAATGAACTCCCTGCTGAGATACTGATCACCGCTGAGGTTCGAGTGGGCTACCTGTCCTCCGGTTGCACCGACCCGCCCGGAAACTTCAGCCTCCCCGGCTCTGCCCTATACATCAGCCTCTATGGCCCCTCGCTCCGCAACCACACGAAAGGCCTCCCAACACCGCCATAAACGCCACCAACCCCTTTCACGCCGCGGGGGAGGCGCACACTCCGAAAGCTATTTCACTAAAATCTATCTATCTATATAATAATCTAGTAATATAAGTATATCACTAAACTTGGTCCGTTTTATAACTATATCCCTAGTGAGATAGTAATGAATCGCTTTCGTATAACTATGTTCCAGATATAATTATATCCCTAAGGATATAACTATATTACGGCTACATCTATCTTACTGCGACATATACATATAGATTCCATAATTTCATTAAAATATATGTAATATCCCTTAACGAATCAAGATATTTCAAGAATAAGACAAGAGTAAGTAATAATCAGTACAAATATATTGTTATCATATTAGTATGTATTAAAAAATAAATCAGCAGTATTTTAATGTTTGATGTACCTGACTTGAACTGTGGTTGGTTTTAGATTCCGAAGAAGATTTAATTTACCAGTTGTCGTATGATGTATTGACTGCACTCACGTAGCTATAATGAAACCAAGTAAAGGTGAGCCCCTTTTTTAATAGAAAAGGCTATCACTCATTGAATCTACAAATATAATTTTTCATTTTTCATTTTATTCTATTACATATCTATATACATTTATCATCTATACATTTCATTCTATTTAAAGGAAGTCTTCGGCTAATATGGAAGGCTTCGGCTTATAACTATTATACAAAAGTTAATCAACATATTTTTTCAGGCTTGTGACCACAATTTAAAAATATTAAATATGAATTGAAAATAGGGTGGGGCCACACACGACTCTTTTTAAAATGGTCATCCAGTCAAGTGGAAGCGATTCATTCATGCGGGAACTACATATTATATCATAATGGTAAACAAACATGACGACTATTATTTATTTTGTTATAATCCTTAGGTACATAGCTTAAGACAACTACATTGTACTCTTAAATTATCTTGATTTAAACTCCATATTTGTAATAACTAAGGTTCCAACATTTCTTTTATCATTAAGGGTGAAATAAAAAGAAATCTGTATCAATAAAACTTTTTTATTTTTGGTTACTTTTTCTGAACATAATTACTTTGTTTTCAAACTTAAAATTAGCATTCACATCATCTTTGGTATGACAGTCACATTTGGTTTCGTCATCATGTCG